CCTGCACAGTCATGCAAAGTGCAGTTCTGCACTGTTGCAGGTCCATATCAGGCTGTAACGTGACAGCAGGAACCTAAATAGCTTTACAGCCTCTCTACACCTGTCCGCCCGCCTGTCTTCCTGCCTGTCTATCCATGTTCTTTTGCTCCCACTTGCAGCACCCCGTATCCGTGAAACGCTGTTTCACTTCAATTTCTTAATCTTAGGCAGCCGGTAGGACTCCTTGGACGGGGGATCAGCCCAACTCAAGGCTGCTACCTACACGGAACAACACAAACACAGAAGAGACGCAGACAGACATCCATGCCTTCAGTGGGATTCAAACCCATGATCCAACCTCTCAGGTACCGACTCCGGGGTCCACTCAACCTCCTACACAACGGGTACCGGGCGGTGTTTCCCGGGGGGTAAGGCGGCCGGGACGTGAAGGTGACCATTAACTTCCAAGTAGTGCCTAGATGAAGAAAATGTGGATCTATACATTCACTCCCCCATACGCCTTCATGGTGTAATGCCTAAATTCGTTGAGCACAGGGACATCTTTATCTTAGAGGACTCAGAATTTATGCCTGTTTCTGAACGTAACAATGCGTGTTTAAAGAAACTGTCTCACTTTGTCTTCCTTCCTACATGACATGTGTCTTTTGAAGTGTGTACCAACCGTGAGGAGCAATTTTCATTTGTTCATGTTTCGATCCGGAGTAGCAGGGGTTTGCTGTGTCTATCAACACGAAATTATCTATCTACGGCTCTATAGCCCTTTGTTGGACCTTGGCGGCTGTTTGAGTTTCTTAATCCCATACACAATCTGTAGGGTTCCTTTGACGGGGGATCAGCCCGTCGCAAGGCCGCTACCTGCACACAGAACAACACAGACACAGAGTAAACGCACACAGACATTCATGCCTGGAGTGGGATTCGAACTCAAGATCCCAGCATTCGAGCGAGCGGCCAATGTTATCGGCTTAACACGAAATTATAGCTGTATAAAAATCACAAGACTCCTTATCAGAACGGGCCACATGGCTATTCAGAATAAGGAAGCGAATATTCAAATCTCAAAGAGATAAAAGCGGAAGTCCCACAAGGCAGCGTGTTATAGTCAGTAGATGGCTTCACACTCCAGCCGCTTTACCCCCGGTACTCATTGGCTGGGTGGACCCCAGAGCCTGTCTTGACGACCTGGAGAAGTGAAAATTCTTTTCCCCTCACCAGAACTCGAACTCCGAACCCTTCGTCGTCCAGCCAGTAGCCAGTCGCTACAAACCAACGTAAAGGGACGATAAAATATGACATCGTTAAATATACCAAGTACTTCCCAAGTTACGTATTGTGAACTGTATGGATTAAGCTCTATCAGCGCACGCGCAGTGATGCAATGCATTCCTAACAATAATCAGCGATGCCAGCGTGCGGGACTCATTGCGCATGCTCCGGCGTTAATCGGAAACTTGTTCATGACTTTCCGGACATGAGACATTATCTACTCACAACATTTCGTGCTTGTAACGCAGTAACTGCTCGTGCATAGAGACTCACGAGAGAACTGACACATGCCTTAAAGGGGCGTCCCTTCTCGTCTGTCCATATAACCGCAATCTCTACTTTCGCCTCAGCGAGACACCAATCATTACACTCGTGTAGTAAAAAGCACCCTTCGGGCCTGAAGTCGATCCCTTTAATTCAGAGACAGATGTAAGGTTTCGAACCGACATGTAATGTGACGCACATACCCATCCCGCGGCAACAAATACACAGCAACAGAGGACATCCATTGCTAGGCAATGAATGTGTTTTCTGTGTGGTCCGATCCGAGGCTATACGACTCGACCAATCGCGTTCAGTTCAACGAGTGAGTGCCGTGCAGTTGAATCCGCTCGGTGGAGGAGCTGACTATGTTAACCAGCGGGCCAGGGAAGCGGAAGAGTCTCCATTGCTAAGATTCGTTACCAGGAAACGACTAGTGGAGACACTGCAGAGGAACAGCCATTGTGAAGAGCTGTTACCAAGTAAAGACTAGTGGAAGCAGACTGAGAAGACAGCGTGGAGTGATTTATAGTGTGCAAATCAGCAATAGTGTTACAGTTACACGTAGTTACGACCTGCAAGTGGTCAGTAAATCTATTCACCATTTGAAACCCATTGTATAATCACTAATACATGTGACAATATATTATGTACAATAAAGATACATCAATGCAACTGTTTAAATACGAGAGTATGTACTATCCAGCTATGAGGTTACAACGAGACAAGACTCTGATGCAGAAACCGAAGAAACGATAGGGGAACCCATGCTGAAGCAGTGGACATGCATCTTGCTTTTCTATAGCGATACAGTTTTATCACATTCACCTCGTAAGGAAAGATACGAAACATGTAACCCCTCAACAGCAAACACGATACTTCGGTTTCTAACCTCAGCAACGTAACGTCAATGACCTTTTAATGGTATTCCCATACACAAACTGTGACTCAAGTGTCCGGTTGTTTAAGCCATTACGCAGTGCAGGATGGCCTGGGATTTCGAACTTCTTAATTAACTTTACAGTACGCATTAGACGTATCAATCGGCAGCTCTTCGAACTTAAACGGAGCCCTTGGCTGCGTCGTAGCTAAGGCGAGTAGGCTACAGCTTCCCACCGTGGAGCCCCGGTTTCGATCCAAGGTCAGGTCATGTGGGTTTTGTGGTGGACAAAGAGGCACTGAGGCAGGTTTCCTCCGAATAGAAGGAGAGAGAGTGAACAGTTCACAAATGGAAGTAAAAAAGCTGTAATGGACATGATAGGTTTCTATTAATATCAGTAGGCAGCAGCACAATCGAGCGTCATGACAGTCTAGGTAGCAGTCACGCATGCGCATATTCAGAGACTGGTTTCAGGAGTCAAAATGGCGACCGCGATTGACAATGTACTACGGAAGCGCAGAGCAGAGACGACTTACTTACTTACTTACTTACTTACTCATGGAGCTGAGCCCTTCTGGAGGAACCGCCAATTCTGGAGCTACTCAAGAATTTTCCAGCATTTTATGGAACCCGCAGGTTCATTACCGTGTTCACAAAAGCCCTCCACTGGTCCCTATCCTGTGCCAGATTTATGCAATCCATAACATCCCATCCTATGTTTCTAAGATCCATTTTAATTTTGTCCACCCACCTATGCCTTGGTCTTCCCAGTAGTCTCTTCCCCACAAAAACAAGACCGTAACTGTAAAACAGTAATAAATATCTGGTCATGAGCTGTCATCTGTTCCTCTAGTCTTACGCCCCAGATGGGTGCTTTATTCCAAGACAGACTGTCTGACAGTCGCTCATAACTGTGACTTTGACTTGAGCTTAGTCAGCCAGTGAAGACAAGAGTAGGAGGTTGCTGTGAAATGGGAGCTGGCCTGGAAGTTGAATCAGTTGTGGGATATTCACCAGCCGGCAAGGACGTAATATTGTTAGGATCCGTTACCAGGAAACGACTAGTGAAGACATAGCGCACTTTGTGTGTGCTGTAGTTACAGTGATCTATAGAGTGTGTAAACTTGTGAGGTTGTTATATTTACTCGTAGTCACGAGTTATATGTATAAGTGGTCAACAAATCCAATCACAAACCGAAACCCCGCGTATAGTCATTCTAACGCAACACAATATTCCAGACCGTAGCGCCTATTTGAACCAAATTTGGCTTGCGGAACGGGACGTCCATGGGGAGTCCTCTGTAAGAACAATGCTGAGATCGTGACATCCGCCTGCCGCCTGTTCCATCCGGTTTCTACGAAACACTTCCGTAAAGACTGGTGGAAGTAAACATGTTCCCTCTTGGACAGATAATCATGGGAATTACATTAGTGTTTCTGTTACGTGTTTTGGTTCGAGTCCAAGGCAACATAATTCCCGCACTGCGTTCGTGATAAAAATGGGTTCGTTGCTAGGCTCCTCGAGTTACCGACTGATGTTGTTAGGCTGGAAAGTGCAGCGCTGTAACACTATCTCCAGTAGTAACAATTCCAAGAATAGGAACATGTTTGTTTGGGTGTCTCGCGCTCTTGAGAGCAAACTACGTAAATGCTTGAGGACCAGGCCAGTAGTTGAGCGTAACTTCTTATTTAAAGTCTTAGCTACTATTTATTGTGATAATGTTATGGAAGGAAGACATACCAGGGGTGAACAACGGGTACTTTAGCTAGTACGCGTTGTGTCTGTATCAGATTTATCCGGCAGACACACACCTCTATGCTTGTAATCGAAGATTAACGACTTCAACTTACAGTACGGTTTATACTACTACCCTGACACAAGACGAGACCATTCCTCAGGGCAGTCAGAGGCAAAGCTGACGGAAATTTCGCAATTATGCAGAAAAGAAGTTCTGGGAAGAAATGGTCGCCTATTTTCCTTCGTACGAAACGGACCGCACAGAAAAAGATGCTTCCAACAATTCTGGTGATGTTTCATTTAACGTCTCTACCGATCCGCTGCCTAGTGACGACAGAGGAGTCTTTTTGACTGCTGTCTCAGTCACTTCCGCACCTGCTAGGGCATCATCTGCAATTTCCGAACGTCCTTGGAGAATTTCTCGACCCAGTTGTGAACCGCTTTACGCGACAAACACTTCCCACCGTAAACAGGAAACATTTATCTATGAATATCCTCTGCATTATGTTCGTTTACCCACAGAAATATGGACAACAGAACGCTGTTCTTCGGTAGATAACTCCTCAAGCACGGTCGCCATTTTGACTGTTAAAACCATCCTCTGAACATGCGCTTGCGCCTCTGCTACCTAGCCTGTGCTGCTCTCTAGTGATATAAACAGAAACCCTATTGTGTCCATTACAGCTGTTTTACATTTATTTGCGTCTTATTTACTGACTCTCCCCAGTATACTTATTTCCAACATTTAGTTTAATGTAGTGAAGTCTTAAAAAATCGATCGATGATATATCGAAGTGACGTCGAGTGTCACCGCGAGTGTGCGCCCTGACTCTGGTTCTGTTGCTGTGGGCACATCGCCGGAGCAGTTCAACGGTTCAGTCCGGTTCAGTCCCTGTCTACCGTTCAGTTGCTTCGACAGCGTCGAGGTGAGTCCAGCGGACAGACATTGGCATTAAGAAGTTATCTGGGGTCTTACCTCATGTATTTCCTTGTGTTTATGTTTATGTATGTTTACAATCAGCCAATGTTTGCTTTCATCAGCTTTAACATAATGTAGCTCTGCACCTATGCTTTGGAGTTGCGTACGGGGATTCCTATGATTCTCATAACAAAGAGGATTGTTTTCTCTCCAAACAATATTAACATGGCGGACGTGCAATAAAGCAGTGGTATTTTTTCTTATTCGACGTAGGATTTAAATCTATACTGGCCGCGCCATAGCTCAAGGGGTTAGTCGCTGGCTTCCCACAGCGACGGCCCGGGTTCGATCCCGGGTCTGGTCAAGTGGGATTTGTGGTGGACAAAGTGGCGCTGGGGCAGGTTTTCTCTGAGTACCTCGGTTTCCCCTGCCAATCTTCATTCCACCAATTGCTCCACAATCACCCTTACCTATCATCTGGGGCTGGTACAATATGCAAGAAGTGGCCGCAGTACAAGGGACTTAGTCCCACCCCACAAGCAATAAAAAAACTACATTTATAAATAATATTCAAAGATTTTGTCTGAAAAGTACACCAAACGATCACTAATTTACCAGGTGTAACTATTTCTATTATATTCTCAAACCTTCGCACACTCTCCTTTTAAATGTGTAGGTTACATATTCGATAACACTGCTACAGAACTCACTGAAGCCTCAAAAAATATTCTGAATATTCAACAACAAGCGAAATTAGAAGGCATCTTATAAAGAATAACGATTTTGGAAAAGGCTGTCTTTATGTACTGCGACCTGGCGTGTAACAGCTACGTCGTGACGTCACATTTCCCCATGCTGGAGAACTTAAAACAACAACTCTAGAGGGAAGGGAATAAGAATGTCACACGTAGTCATCTGAGATAATTTATTTCCGTGAGCTGCATTCTTCCAAAAGAGTGGCCCAAAATTTCCGAATAAATTTCCCGAATTACGAACAGTAACTTCTCGCGTTGTCGTCTCTAGCGGCTACACACACATTCAGAATTTCCTTTTATAATAATTCAATTCTATTCGTGTTTATTTACGTGCAAACTTAACAGCACAGAGGCCAATTACAAAGTTAGCACGAATAGAGAAATACACAAAAATAATTAAAAACAAAATACAAAAATGATAGTCTATATTAATTACACAGCATGAATAAAGATACAGAAGCGAACATACACAGACAAAGCCACGATGTGAGAATTTGCGTTTCAAATACAGCAGCATATAATAATAATAATAATAATAATAATAATNAAAGTATAGATTTTCAGACAATAATAATAATTCAGTGTATTGTTTTATTGCACATGCAAATAATAATAATAATACTAACATTTATACTATATTTACAAATCGTTTGGGGAGAACATTCCTGGCTCCGAGTACGTCAACATTCCCGCAGACAACAGCAGCTGCTGCACATCTAGCAGAGGGACAGTTTTGCGTGTGGAGCAGACACTGAACAATGCAAAGTCTCTGATATACCGAGCAGGAACTCGGAGACCAACAATTTCCAGACAGAAGGGCAGAATTTCGAGCCATGAATAAGAAAGAGAGCAGAAGGCGATGTCTCCTGGTGCGTAAAGTATGCAATTGTAACTCCTCCAGAGCAAGAGAGTGACTGTAATGACTTGAGGAAAGAAACGATTAAGACAAAGGGCCGCAAACCTCTGCTGCATGCGTTCCAGCTTTTTGGCATCAGTTGACGTAATCGAATTCCAGACTGCGGACGCATATTCAAGCTTTGATCTAACTAATGCAGTGTACAATCTGAACATACACTCACACATACCATCAACCTCAAGCTGGATGGAATTATAATTTTTTTCCTAAAGGAGGCCACATATTTCCAGAATTGCTTGGGTTGCGACTTTAAATTTTCGCCCACAGATTTCAACCATCTAAGTCTGTCAGACTTAACTGTAGTCTTAACTAGCTTACGATAGACGGAAAATTTTTGGCAAATACATTCGGATTTTTTTTAAGTCTGTAAAAATAGTTCTTTTTCCTTATATAATACCTTAAGGAACTCGAATTCCAGTGCGGGGATTTCATGTGAGTGTTTATGATGCCACGGGGAATTGCATGTTCCATGGCATCTTGAACAGCGCATTGAGGGCGGCGAGAGCAGAATCCACAGAATCGCAGGATTCTAAATCGTATCTGCGTTTACAGGAGCGAATTCTGGAGGATAGGGCAGTGAGAACTCCACCGCCACGTGTCTTACTTACAGACGCCCTGTCAGAACGGAAACCTATAGCAGTCAGGAAGTAAATTATGATCATAACACATGTCGTTTAGCCATGTCTCAGTTAAACATATAATATTGTAATTCTTTTGGCTTATTTTGGACTTCACCCATCGTCTGGTATGTAAAAGACAAAAGACCACGACGTTTCGGAAACTGGATCTGTCTCCGTCTTCATGTGGATAGGGAAGGATAAACCTACTCAGTTGGGCCCGTTAGAAAGAGCTAGTCTCAATCACTGGACCAGTAGGACTGAGTAGGTTTATCCTTCCCTGTCCACCTGAAGACGGAGACAGATCCAGTTTCCGAAACGTCGTGGTCTTTTGTCTTTTACATACCAGACGATGGGTGAAGTCCAAAGTAAGCCAGAAGAAGTACAGTATACACCATCGTCAGAATCCTTTCAAGTCTATATAATATTGTAGTCCGTGCAGCAGATATTGTCGTAAAGTTGGACTCGTTTAGTCCTACGACCTCTGACGTTTTGGTAACATTCTCCAGGATGTTTGCGAGACCTGGCAAAACAACCTGTGTTGTTATCAGGCTTGCTAACCATTAACTGTGTACAGAAGCGTCCTCTCCTGGGCAACGGTATTGTTTACCGCATTTACGGAGTCGCCTACATGAGCAAGGCCGAGAAGCCTCTGATTCTTCAACAGTATAAATTTGGTCAGGGCTTAATCGCCCATAAAAAGGAGCGATTAAACAGCCGTTAGGCCATACTCCGGTATTATTAATGAGATGAAAGTCATCCTCTGCAACAGAAACATGAAATGATATATATGATTTATATTTAGTTTTTAGCCTGGTGCAAGCCAGGGAAGCAAGCTGCAATTGATCCTTTAGAGAAGTCTCAACATCAGATGATGTTACATCTGGGGAAAACCTAGAGACAAAAAGGGGCTTCATACGGACCCTTTTCTGTACAACAGAGAGAGAAGAGCTTCTCACTCCGATCATGGCAACCCTGGGTTTCTTGGAGGTATTGGCAACAGTGTTCACAGTGTTAACAAGAGATGGGGCTACGCGCTTCTTCTCAACTACCGTTACAAAATCACAACCGGAAGGGCTTTCACCCGTCACAAAGAATGGCTCGGGTAGTGAATTCGTGAATTCATACCAGGAGCTGCGACCTTGGAGACATTAGGGTTTCCATTCGCTGCACACACAACATCCCTGTATGATTTTGCTGTAGTTATTGCAGATGTAGCAGCCTCACGCCGTGTTGATCGCACATGTGAGGGCGCCTGTTGAAGTTCACGCACTTGCATCTTCATGGCTTCGTTGTCGATTCTAAGCTGCTGAACTTCACTGCTGAGATTCGACAGCATCACGACTATCGATTGCACCATCTCCATGGTACAGACGCCATTGGTGCGAAGTGTTTCCAGCTGCACGCTGAGGGAATCTTTATCCCTTATACACGAAGGAGTACACTGCATCTCTGCAGAAATTGCTTCCTTCTGGTTACTTTTGCAGAGGGAATGCTCGTTTGCAGCATCCCCTGTGAGTTTAATACAACTGTCACACTTGTAAGCAGACTTACCGGTGGTTTGCACTCACACTGGGCTCCGGCTCACTTGTAAGCAGACTTACCGGTTGTTGCACTCACACTGGGCTCCGGCACACAATTAGGCAGACTTACCGGTGGTTGCACTCACACTGGGCTCCGGCACACAATTAGGCAGACTTACCGGTGGTTGCACTCACACTGGGCTCCGGCACACAATTAGGCAGAAACTTACAATGAAAGCGCGAATCACGCTCGCCACAACGAATAGATTTTTGCTTTCCGTAAAACGGCTTTTCGCAGAGCCGACAGTGGTCCTTACTGGCCATACCTAACCAGCGGCAGAGATATACACTAGGCACTCAAGCGGGCGGGAGCACAAGCAATACACGTCCGTATAGTTCGAGCGCTCGAGTAATAATAATAATAATAATAATAATAATAATAGCAGTAACATTTAAGAGTAAAGGTCAAGCTATCCCTGTAACAGGCCGTGGAGGGCCACAGAGTTGTGAGACGTCGAGGCTCCCATATTTTCTAGACAGTCGGCACACAGATGGCGGTAAGGTTGTCAGCCTTAACCCCAGGAAGATTCCTGGTACTCATTTCTGTTAGAGGCTGAGCCGACCTCAGGGCCATTGTGCGGCTGGAAGGATTAGGTAAACTGAAAACTCCAATGACCTCGTTGGGAATCGAACCTGCGACCTGTCGGCTTGTAGCATAGTATATTCATGGCAGTATTCGCTTAGTGAAAACACTAATGACGATAAATAATAACAATAATAATATTTAATATGACATTAAAGTTCCCATTAATGTTGGAGAGGTCAGTAAAGCAAGGCAAATGAACAGCAGCATTCATTTTGTTCAACTATTTACAATCCCCTTATGACGTATGCGTTCCTGTATCCAACATCCCGTGCCACTCTGTCAACTGGGTGGAAAATTTCCAATATCAGAACGAGAGAACATTAAGGAAAGATGAAAATTATAATGCTCTTGCCTTCAGCAAGCACGAACAGAGAACAAAGAGCGACCCTCATTATTACGTGATATATTTTACAGGATGGCTTCTGGGCTTGGGACCCTCCATGGGAGCACACTTTTTAACGGAAATGAAAGAACAACTGAACACTGAACTGCGTACATACGTACATGGGTACATCCGTTGACGAAACACGGAATCTAACATCAATTACATATTTCCGGGACAGCGTAGTCGGTATGGCGACTAGGTACGGGCTGAACGGCCGTGGGGTCAGAGTTCGACTTCCGGTAGGGTTAAGAATTTCCTCTTCCATACGTCCTAAAGGCTGGCTCTGGGACCCACCCAACATCCTATCACTGGTACCGGGGACTATTTCCTCGGAGGTACAGCACCCGAAGCCTGACGCTGACCACACATCCAACTAGTGCCGAGGTCAAGAAAACGTGGATCGATATATCCACTCCCCCATACGTCTTCGTGGCGTAGTGTTCAATTAGTTAAGCACAGGGACGACATTTATCTTTTTTACGTGTTTCAACCATGAAGGCCATTTTCCGGGATTCTGTACATTCAGTACCAGTTCTCTAGACCGCCTATGTGGACTAGTGGTCAGAGTTCCTGGCTACAGATCTATAGCTCCCGGATTCGGTTTCAGGCGCTAGCAGATTTTCTGAGAAGTAGCGGGTCTGGAACGGGGTCCACTCAGCCTCGTGAGGATAACTGAGGAGCTACTTGAATGGAAAAGTTTTGCTGTTTACTGTTTTACTCCGATATCCAGAAAACCAACCTGTAAAATGTTCTCGCGTATTTATGAAGTTATCATAGACGGCGTTTGGATTGGTAATTGGATATCCTGCACACTTACAACTCGTAACTACAAGTAGCTCTAGCGCTATCGCTAATTGACACACTCTGCAGTCCGCCACAGCAAGCACTAAGTCTTCTTGGTCTGCCGTTCTCATTGCCAGTCTTTGCCTGGTGACGGATCCCAACAGTGTCCTCTGCTTCCATGCTCACGTTCTTACCGGCTGGCGACTGTCTGACAACTCCACTCCAGCATCCAACTCACTTCACTCCATCAGCTCTAACTGTCCCGCTTATAACATCTCGGAAAGGACCGCACAGAAAATACCCTTCCTGCATTGCTGTTCAATTAATGCTTAGCGGACAGAGCAGAAAGTACCATTCCTCTGTTGTTTGCGGGCCGCTGCGTAGGAACGGCATCTGTGCAGTGGCCGCCTAGCAACTATGTGCCACAATATAGACTTAATAAGATACAATATGCAATCAGGTTCACAGAGCCCTCGTCTGTTACAGGTTAAACTACTATGGCCGGGTTCGACGACCTTCCAGACAAGATACTTCTGAAAATATTCTTCTACTTACGTATCGATCAGATCATTCTCTGTATAAGAAATGTCTGCACTCGGTGGAGGAAGGTTTCTGAAGACGATGCGTTATGGAAGGACTCGATTTTCTGTCCAGATGCAGACATCCCAAAACATTACATAATTTTTACGCTGGAGAATGTTCCGGTAATGAGAACATTTCACTACTATGGAACTTGCAATGTCATAGAAAAACTGTCTGAATGCTGTAGGAGAGTCACAGAATTAATAATTCCCCACATAGAATTACGTGCAGCCCTTCTTGAAGTAACTATGGAACGTCTCACTGAGTTAAGAGTCCTTCATATTACAATTAGCCCCACAGAAGAAGGACTTAAAATAACTTCCTTTATTGGTCAGTCCGAAACTCTAACTAGTTTAACTCTGCGCTCGTCTGGTGCAAGGACTGTAGCGGCAGGACTACTGAAACCTATTGCAGACGGTTGTCCCAATTTGAATATTCTGAAATGTGAAGCCTTCAACTTACCTAACAGCGAAATCTGTTACTTGCTGCAGCGGAAGAAGCAGCAACTTGAGGCATATGACCACTACGGTCTCCTGTCTCCAGAATTTCTCGAGGCTCTAAATGAATGTACAAACTTGCATGCAATTTCCTTCCTCGACGTTGATTTTGATGGTCCATTTAAGAACATACCTCCCGTTACAAACTTCAGAAACTTGAGGACGTTCGAAATGGCAGCCTGCAGACTCCCAATGCTAAAGATAATTCCTCTAACTTTATTCCTTGACACATTATCGCATTTGACTCTCATTGGTATAACTTATGCAAGCGCAAACATTGACGATCTGCTAAACAAGATCATATTGAAGAGCCCTGTACTTGTGCATCTCGATTTGGAAGGAAATTCAGAGCTTCGTTGCAGGGGGCTCAGGAATATAAGTACGTGTAAAATGTTAAAGCACCTGGATGTATCGCACTGCCCTGCATTGGGCGCGAAAGCTATAAAATACGTTGCCGAAGGATGTCCGCAGTTACAACTCCTCGACGTGTCCGGCATTCCAATGTCAGGAAGCATTTTCCGGCAAATTCTGAGATGCAGGAACCTCAAGGCTCTCTTCTTTATTAGGTGTGATTTAAGAGGGATTAATCTCAAGCTTGTCTCAACATATATACCCGGTTTATTGCATCTATGCATTGGACCTGGGTTTCCATTATCAAATGAAGCCCTACGTGAAATAAAGCAACAAATGCCACACTTGACTATAAATATCGGTTCAGCTCTATCTGACAAATGTGAGGTTTAAGTATAAAAAGTGACAGAATTTCATGTGTTTAGCAATTGGATGTTGCCATTCAAGATGTGGAAATAGTTTTGTGCTTCGTAAATGAAATCCTTAACAGTGTACAATTTGACTCATTGACATCAATGAATGCATCATGCCACGTAATTCCCCTGCTTTCCATCGCAAATCGAGGTTTGTATTAGGACTGACTTGCAAACAAGAACCAGACTTTAATTCCTAGTCGTAATATTAGAAGATAAGTAAAAGTTGGCCTTGATTCAATATTAAATGTCAGCTTAATATTTAGCTAATTTTATGCCTTGCACCGTGTAGATTTCAACGATTCATCTGAACAATGTACATTTCAGTTGCGTGACAAATAAACAAGTTTATATAACGTATTTCAGTTACCTTAACACCAGACTTCCTAGTGCTATCCTGCTGAAACTAAACTCACTGCGCCCCTACACAGGGCGAGATGGAAGACTCTTCCCTCACACAGGAAAGAACATCGCGGGGTAACTCAGATTTGCGAGAACTCAGTGTAGACTGCATGAGTGCACAGAGTTGCACCATCTGCATTCAGGAGATCCCACACTGCACGGTACGTGTCGCTACTGCTGCACCTTCGCGCGTGCGCCATGCTGTCACTTGCAGGAAAGTAGAGGATACGAACTTGGGATCACTAAATTACTTCACAGTCCTTAAACATTGTATGATTCTGTATGAACCGCCGAATTAATTTTAATTTCATGCATCCTGCGGTGTTACAATATATACAATCTCTTTATTTGACCGTCACAATACAGCAAATATAGAACTTCAAGGACAATGCTCAGTATAGTTCTGCTACATGTTCCGGCCACAAGTGGCCATCATCAGGCAAACACACTTCAACAATCGTACACCGTTGAACTGCAGTACGTAAAATTTGATACAATGTTATAAATCATTTAAGTTAATTTGCACAAGAATACAATAAGTAAGTTATTTAAAACAATAACAAGTCATATATAAAATTAAAATTTGATTGATGTTTAGTAACATCGAATCGGTCGTTGGTTTTACTTTTCATACATTTCTGCCGACGAATATTAAATTCGAGTTTCTTATAAAATTGTGTAGGAGGTACAATAATGTTGTGGATTAATTAATGGAATAGTTGGGTTTCATCATACGGAGAATTGTACGTGTTGTATAGAAAGTAATCAACGACTCGTACGATTGTTGAAGTGTGTTAGCGTGATGACGGCCACTTGTGGCCGAAACATGTAGCAGATCTATACTGAGCATTGTCCTTGAAGTTCTATATTTGCTGTGTTGTGACGGTCGAATAAAGAGATTGTAAACTTCCGAATTCCTGACACGTGTGATGATGTGTGCGAATACATGCATTTTATTTTCTACATTTCGCTTCTGCATAACAAAACACACACCTCAAAGGTGTCTCCACCTTGTCGTGGTGGTGGGGCTTGCGTGAATCTGTGACCTGGGGAGCTATGCCGGCCGTAGCTTAACTACCGCTAGGGTCACACATGCGGGAAAGGTCAAAGGATAAAGTCCAGACTAAGAGAGATACCATGGCCGTCCAGGTTGGGGGTTGGGCATGAGGCTAACAACCTCATCCTGTAAAAAGAAATTTGTTCAGAAACCTAACAACCAGCCTCGGATAAGTGAAACATACGGAAAACGGACTAAGCAAAAGACCAGGAACAATGAAATTGTGAGGCAACTTGGAATGTACACACAAAGCTGCAACCGGAAATGACATGCTACATAACTGACTTTATGGCACTGCAAGCAACAGGATGGCACGGAAGCGGCAGACTTTACTATAATATAGAGTGGATCGCAAGCAAGAACCACACAGTTTGGAACAGGGTTTAAGATAACACGAAAAATAAAAGAACGCATGCAGGAATATGAAACAATTACTGATAGAATCTGTAAGTTAAGAATGAAAGGGATATAGAAATATTACAATATCAGTACACGCCCCAACGGAAAACAAGGAGAGAGACAGAGCTCTATGAATGTTCAGAGGAAACCTATCATGAAATTGAGAAGCAGGATTATATAATGGGAGACTTCAAAGTAAAGAGAGGGAAAGAAGTGTATCAAAAGAAAGCGGTAGGAAAATACACAATACACGACATCAGTACTGAAAACGGTAACTTACAAGGACAGTTCCCTACCTGAAATGGATTAAACACAAGAAGCACAAAAACATACATCTAGGTATATGGAAAATGTCAGGATCAAATAAAGTTAACCAAAGAGACCATTTGCTAGTGCCTCAACAGACGTGGGGAGCAGCAGAGGGCCCAACTGAGGTACGGACCAGTACGTAGTCAAAATCGGAGTAAGGGAAAGCGAGGAAGGAGTGAAGCCAAAGATGTGGGAAGTACAAAACTGAGGAAAATTGAAGAGAAAATAAGAGAATACACAGAAGAAGGAAACGTAGAGGAAAACTGAAAGAGGATACAAAAAGAAATAAAGTAGCAGATGTGACAGTGGGAAAAGAAGGAAGACAACGTAACAAAGAATGGTTCGGTGAAGGTTGTGCAAAAGTAACATCACAGAAGAACAATGCTAGAAAAAAAAACAAAGCAAACTGTGAAAGATATCAAGAATTAAGAAGGAAAGCAAATAGAATATGTAAGAAGAAGAAGAAAAATGGAAGAATGAGGAAAGTTAGAGGAAGTAAATAAATTTTAAGATCAGATTTGGAGAAGAAAATTTTATAGGGCAATAGATAACCTAAAAAAGGATTTCAACCAAGAAGTAATGGCTGCAGAAACATAGACGGTGAAATAACAAGAGAGGAAGGGAAAGTACTAGAACGAAAGGAATAATATCTTAAAGAACTAAAAGCATCGGAAAAAAGACGAAAGAGAAGGGAATGAAAACAGCCAAGAAGAAATAAGAACAGGAAGAAGATGAAGAGAGAAATATAGCAAGACGCGAGGATTTAAAAGAATATATTCAAAAAACAAAGAATAATAAAGCACCACGAGAAGACGGTATAACAGCAAACTGATTAAATATGGGGGATACGCAATAACAGACGCCATGCACAAATTAATCACTGTGATATGAACAGAGGAAATGCCACAAAGTTGGAATACAGGAGATGAACTAGAATGTGCAGATGACAGAGGAATCACATAAGACATTATCTAGTGCAATAAGTGGACCGCTACAGATCACTGGACAGTGTGGATGCGATGTTGCCCAAACAGAAGTGCAACTGACAAACTCTTTGCAATAAGACAATTCATGGAAAAGTATTACGAATACAAATGGACTTGCATGTGCTGTTTGTACACATTAGCGGAGCATTCTGCAGCGTTAACAGAGAAAGATTATATGAAGCGACGAAACAGATGAAAATACCAGATAAATTAATTAGGCTAACTCGAATTACAATGAAAGTTACACAAGCAAAAGTTAAATTAAATAATAAACTAAGTGCACAATTTGAATTTCATGCCGGAGTCAAGCAAGGGGATGGTTTTTCAGCAGTACAATTCACAACCGCATAAAGGGTATTGACCAGAGAGAAACAATTTATACAAAATCAAGCTAAATATATGCATATGCGGAATACATTATCATAATAGCAAGATCCAAAGAAACGATAATCGAGATATATAAGAAAATGGAAGAAAAGGCAGGGGAGATAGGATTAGAAGTAAACAAAACAAACAACTCGTGAAATTAGTCCGCAAGCGAAGTATACCGACCGAGTTAACAGAGTTCAGTTAGTGTTCATACCACGTGCACCAGTGTTTGTCTAAAACATGAATATCAGTATTAAAATATCAGTATTAAAAATAAAACAATGAATGGTTTAATCCAGTACGAAATGTCGAAATTCCATCAGTTTTCTTTCCTTCAGACACATAATAGGGCTAATTTGGTAAGTAGGACCTACTATCATATATTCATCATCTTTATTCTTAAACTGTAGTAAAAGTTGTAATTAAAATTGTGAAATTTTATGTCCCATTTAATATTTAAGGTCACATTTTACACTTTTTAGATCATAAAAATCCGGGCCCTAGTTATCAGTTTATTCTGTCTTTGTGTAGTCCTGTGTTTATGTAGAGGCTTTGCGACGAGCTGATCACACGTCCAAGTAGTCTTACCGTCTGTAACTGAGAATCAGAGGCCAGAGCCCAAGGGGACTGTAGAGTCAGCACTGCGACAGAACGAACTGCAATCGTGAAACACGGCCCCGCATTTCTCAACATGAAATGAAATTGAACGCTTCCCGATCAAGATTAATGGTTCCAGTAAGTCTGTCCCTGTATGACCATTCTCTGCCTCCATCTTGTGGGGCTTAGACAACTCTCGAGGAGCGGGAAATAGGAGCTGAACACGTAGCCCACTAACACAATAGGAATTAACTCACTTTTATGAATTGCATTCTTCCAAAACCTCCCTTAAACACTTCCGAAAAACTGCTCTCTGCTGTGTGCTCCCTGTAAAATACATGTACATTCAGCAGTTCGTCTCATGTCACGTGGTATGTCACCTGGACCTCAATATGGAAGGGAAAGGGGCTGCGTGTAAGGGAGAAATTAGAAATGACGACAGACTTACCAGAACACCTATGTAAAGAAACTACAATTTGAATATTCTCCTTACGTTTATAATCCTCTACAATTCGCTTGTCATCTCGTAGGGTTCGTGCGCTGTTGCCATTCAGATAACGGAAATAGGTATAAGCCGCTAAACGTGGCAACATGGGGAGACATCAAAAGCAACCAACATGGTCTTAAGTGAAGTTCCAAACCATAATCATAGTGATATGAACACTAAACATGGACAACTTACTCATAAAGATCACCCAGAGTACAAGCATATAATGTTACGTACAGACTAACATGTTCCGTATATACAGTCTGCCTCAATATTACACTGAATTAATATGAACACCACTGAACGTCCTGAGAAGAGTACAGCTGTTGCAGTTTCCTAGCACTAACACGATCTGTATGAGAACATTACAAATATAATGACTATTACTTATATTATTTCTAGTTTCTTACATGATGTGATCCAAAGGCCTCCAGGCTCATGGACACAGACCTCACATCTGCGTGAGAAACAAACTCACGACCCTTCGAACAATTCCGATCAGTTCCTATCTCTTTTCGACGTGGTTCTGTTCTCCAATCCCGAAGTCGGAGTACACTGCGCACCAGAAGTTGGGTCTCTCATGCAACGTAATGCATCATAAGGCGACACAAGCAAACTGCTCTCAAAACGTGTCCTTTAGAATGTGAGAGCGGGAGCTACTGCTTATAACTTCTCGCAGAACTCTCTCGGTTAATAAACATAACAGCTTTGTTACTTACT